ACTGTGACAGCATTAGGAAAGCGCAGCCAATAACTGGCAACTATATTTACCCGGTGACCTGCTGTGTCATTGGACTCAGCTGATCACATGGTAAAAGGCCACTGTGATTGGCCGTTTACCGTATCACGTGATCAGCTGTCCGTTGGAGACAGCGCTCACCAGTGTCGCCGAGTGCACACCACTGGGGGCGTGTTCTGGGAGGACGTCCATGGACACCCTCCCAGAACTAGACAACCGCGCTGTAGCCATCTTTCAGCTATAGCACGGTAGAGAACCAGTTAAAGCGGTAGTAAACTGCAAAAAATAAATAACAAAAAATCTTGGAAGAATCCTGGTTATGCCAAACTTCTTTCATTTGAGAATTATTTTGTAGCCTTCCTCGGATATGCGGCTTGCAATAATTCCTTTGACCTCATGGCTTTTGTTCTAATACAGCATACATTGTCAGCTGTGATGTCTTTTATAGAGAGGTGTGTGCCTTTACCACAGGTGGACTCCAAGGTGTAGAAGCATCTCAGCAACAATCAAGAGGAATGGGAGGCATCCAAGCTAAAATTTCAAGTGTTGCGATGGGTCTGAATACTTATGCCAATGTGATATTTCAGTTTTAACATTTTCATAAAATTTGCAAACATTTCTAAAATTCTGTTTGCTTTGTCATTATGGGTACTGAGTGTAGATTAAGGAGAAAAAAATGAATTTAAACAACTGTAGTATCAGGTTGCAACATAACAAAACTGAAAAATGTGAAGGGGGTCTGAATACTTTATGAATGTACTGTAAATACTACAAAACTATAGCAGGATAAGTGGTGCCACCTTAAAGGGATTTTTTTTTTAAAGGGACACTGCAAGGTTACACCAGAAACTTTGGAGGGAACCAGCTACTACCCAATACCCAATTTGGATGACTAACCCCTTGCCCTCCTGAGAATTTACCCCCCTTCCTGACCAGGCCATTTTTTGCAATAACTGACAATTGCGCAGTCATGCAAAGCTGCACCCAAATAAAGTTTATGGCCTTTTTTTCCCCCACAAATGGAGCTTTCTTTTGGTGGTATTTGATCTCTTCTGCGGTTTTTATTTTTTGTGCTATAAACAAAAAAAAGACCGACAATTTTGAGAAAAAAAAACAATATTTTTGACTTTTTGCTATTAAACATGTCCAGTAAAAAAAAAAATTATCGTTATAATTTTAGACTAAAATGAATTCTGCTACGTCTTCGCTAAAAAAAATTCCAATACATGTAAATTAATATTTTATACTAGTAATGGTGGTGATCAGCGACTTATAGCAGGACTGCGGGAATGCAGTGAGCATTCTGACACGGGGGGGGTCAACTGTCACTGACATTCCCAGTGACACTAATACAGTGATCAGTGCTAATAAAAAAAAATATTAAAATACAATATAATAAAAAAAAAGGGTCAACTGTGTGCTGTTTTACCATTTTGTGTGTGCTTTACACTGTAGGCACGCTGCTTTGTAAGCAGCATGCTGGTGTTGACAGGAGAGAGATCTGTATTGTTTACATACAGAGCTCTCCCGTCAGTGTTCCTCAGCAATTACCGGGTGCCAGTGGGGAATCACCTGTCAGGAACCAGTGATCAACAGCTGTAGCCGCCAATTGTGGCACATGCCCTCTACCTGGAAATGCAAAATCACGTATAGATACATGACTTTGCAGCCCTGCCACCCTGTAGTAGTATTTCTGCTATAGGGCGGCAGTCAAGCAGCTAATTTGCATGTCAGGATCCCTATGAACCTCCAAAGTTTCCTCTGGCTTTACCCTGCCCAAACACAGTTCACCATCTTTCAGGTTACACTAGGTCCCGTTACATAAAAATCTAAAATTAAAGAACAAGTTAAACATCTTAAAAGAAAAAAAAATACAAAATCATTAGTCTAAGGGGTTACAAATATTCACTTTATTATAAATAAGAAATACTGATTTATACATAAAAAATGTGTAGTGTTTTGTTGAACCCCTTTCTTCCCTGGACAAAAAAAATGACCACAAAAAACCCCCCTTCCCGTCCCTCTTCTGAACATGTTGTCCATAAAAGTCCAATATTAGACACAGTTAACCAAGAGTGCAGAGGGGAACACCACTTAAGGCCACATGATTTTCTATGGCAGTTTCCTGGATGTTTTTCTGGTGGGGAAGGGTCTTCAACTGTGGATCAAATGAGCAGAGGTTTCAAAGATGTCATGAGACCGAGAAGAAACACTGACACAAGTTAGGGGGCAATGAGGCTTTTCAGTGATGGGGTGAATTTAGCTTTTTTCATGTAAACCCACACAAGTGTCTTTGCTCCTAAATGGGTATGTTACATAGTGTTTCTGGGGTGTGTGTCAGGGAGAGGAAATAAAGAACCGGAGGGCTTGTGACAGCTTATAAAGACAACTGTTAGCTATAAATGAACTACCCTTTTCCTCCCTCTGACCTCACTTCCCCGTCCAGGCCAGAAATATATTTACAGAGATAAGAAACAAAATAGACATTCAACTTAGTGTTATAATCTGGATACAAAAAATAAAACACTCACAGGAATCAAGCAAATTCAAAATTATTTATAGCACCAGTGTCATTTAAAAAGGGGTTTTACTCTCCACATTCTCCCCAAATGGGAGATGATATGCAGAGTGTCCTTCAGAAGAGAGATTGCTGTATAGAAAGACTGGGTGTAACAGAGCTGTGCTTTCTCAGAGCTGTAAGGCTAATGTCACACCAGGGGTCTCACCGCTTGTCATGTCCAGCTTAGATTCCATGCAAGCGGACATGACTTGTACTGCTTTTGGACATATAGAAAGAATAAGTGGTGGTTACAGTATCTATTGCTACACTACAAGGATATATAAAAAGCCTTTGTGACAAAAGGCTGAAAGGGAAAAAACGAATTACAAATCTGATAAATTCGTCAGCAGTGTTCACAATAAAAAAAAAAAAAAAAAAAGGCCCAAAATTCTGTTGGATATCACTGTGGTAAGGACAGCTTGGCAGAACTAAGATGTTGTGTTACACTAGTAAACTGTCCTTTTTGGCAGTCCTGGACAAAGCCAAAAGCCAGGTAGGAAAGGATTCGAGCGCATAAACTTTGACTTATGTCTTTTGACACATCTGGTCACTTGAATATCTACTGGCTCTTGAATTGCACATTATGTAGTCCACCCTGCCATTTTAAATAATTTTTGGTATAACCGCAAAACAGTTAATTACCGTAAAATTATATGCATTTCTTTAAAACAAAATAAAAAATATGAAAGATTTAAAATAGTTTCTGTTCCCTGCTGCTTTCAGGCATGTTGATGCTTGAAAAATTTGAAATGTCTCTTATGATTGTCCCAACGGGCACAGTTCTCTAATATCTCTTCTCTATTATTTAGCCAGCGTGCTTCTAAGCACACCGACCAATGATTAGAGAATAGATGGGGTAGAGTCATAATAACCACACCAAAAAGACAGCTGTGACAGACTGATTACCTGCTTCAAGAGGCAAGTGCTAGACCCACTGTGATTACTTCTTCAATCATTTCATATTATTATATTGGGGATCTTGGAAGACCATTTTGCAGAAACCCTTTCTTTGTAAATTTAACAGTGGAATAACAAAACATTCTGAATTTGGCTATGCAGGCAGTCTATGCTGCACACAAAAATATTCTAAAAGGTACCGAATTTGGTGTGATCTTAAAAGTTTTTGCACATGCTGACTATAACACAGAACTAGTCGTTAAATCTATATTGATCACAATGGGCAAAACCTGCAATGGGTGAGTATTACACCTGAGAAGTTATAATATAGAATGAAACATCAGTTCCTTCCTTTGTCGTGTATAGTGGCCATTTTATAATAATTATAATAAAATAAGAATCTACTATACTACAGAGTCAGAAATCTCAAATATATAGCTATGGACTGGATATAAACACCTTCTCTGATACTGCTGACATATAAACTATGGTAAAGGAATATATACATTATGGCAACTAAATAAAAATATTCCAGTGGATCTCAAATTGGCAGGGACAGGAGTTACCTCTGGCTGTTGGTTACCTATGGACTTCATTTGGCTTTATGAGAGGTAACTCTTGTTTAAATCTTGCTACAATTATGTCTGGTGACCTCTTGCTACCGTGCCATGAACTCTTTGCTGAATTGATAACTCTTGAGAGCTGGGTGCTCTTTAGGGTACAGTTCTGAGATGCCAAGGCATTTATATGACCTGTCTTAATGGCTTGCCCCAGCTTCCATGCAGCTAGATTTGCATCAATGCTTCCAATCAACAATGCATTAAACTAGCTTACTGCAGACAAGGGTGTTTTATTCTAGTGTCCAATTTGGGGGCCCTTCTATACAGCAATGAACACAAGCCTGTACACGTATCATTGTCAGGGATAATACTGACTGTGTGGCTAAGCTATAGGGCAGGAGGCCAGGCAGTAGGTTAGTTGAAGGGAATGGAAGGCAAAAAGGAGTGTATTACAAGGAACATGTTGCATACCGCTAATTTTCCGGAGCAATAGGCCCTAATTTTCTAGAAGAGGAAAGGCATGGCTTTATTAACCATTTCTGCGCCACAGGGCACTTGAATGTATTGCATTGAAGAAACAGCCATTGCTGAAGAGGTTAACCCTTCCTAGAAATTGTCCCTTGGCTAACACTGCAAACCACCTTGTGTGGTGGCCCAGTGGTCTTATGTTGTGTAGAGGCCTGGAAACAGCTTGTTCTCTCACAGTTATACATCTCTCTGGAGGGAGAAGAGCAGCAAGCTTAGACAGATGCCTCTGGTAGATGCGGTACAGTAGACAGTTCAGGTGAAGTAATATATTTCCAATTATGGCCCCCATACAGTTCAATATTTTGGAGGGCGCAGTGTGAACGGTGTGTAGGGCAGACAGTCTGGGGTTGGTGAGTAATAAGGCACTTCACAGCCAAAACATGGAGGTTGGCGAGGAAGGAAGTTTGGCTAAGCTCCTCCCTTTCTTCCCAGAGGCT